GAGGTTAGGGGCTTTGCTGAAGCACATAATGATAATCAGATTAATTTGCCTGCATCAGGATTTGAACCCATTACCTTCTACACATGGGTGCAGATCCCTCCCCCACTGGGTCACACATTACCTCCATGCACCCAATGTCATATGTATGTTTCCATGGGGTGCTTGTGAGTGTATAAGCCTTTCTGTTGGTGTCTGACATGATATTAATAAAGCAATTTACATCTGCTCAGCATTATCAGCATTGTAAGGCTATATAATACCCCAGGTCATAAAATACATATGATCTTTCAACCTTGAGTGGAAAATAAAATTGGATAATCATTTATAGCATGAACTTTTGGCACAGTCCTTTGCATGATAAAATGAAATGGGGAGAGGTATTGGAGAATGAGGCTGAGTGAACGAAGAGCATCAGGTGAGCTGAGAGAGTTCAGGCAGGATCAAAATGTCAAATGTCATCACCTTTATGGTCTTGCAACAGTGAGGTGGAGAGTGACAAATCTAATGCATAGGTCCAGTGAAGCAGAGGGCAGTGAGTCTAAGGTAGAGCTGCAGTGAAGTAGAGCCTGATGCATCTAAATTAAAGCTAGAGTGAGGCACAAGGAGGTGAGTCTAAGGTAAAGCTGCAGTGAAGTACAGAGAAGTAAGTCTAGAGTAAACCTGCAGTGAAGCACAGACAGGTGAGTCTAAGGTAGAGCTGCAGTGAAGCACAGAGAGGTAAGTCTAGAGTAAACCTGCAGTGAAGCACAGACAGGTGAGTCTAAGGTAGAGCTGCAGTGAAATAGAGCCCAATGCATCTAAATTAAAGCTGCAGTGAAGCACAGAGAAATGAGTTTATGATAAAGCTGCAGTGAAGCACAGAACAGTGAGTCTATGGTAAATTAACAATAAAGCATCAGGAGCTGAGTCTAAGGAAAGCTGCAGGGAAGCACAGAGAAGTGAGTCTAAGGTAAAACTGCAGTGAAATAGAGCCCGATGCATCTAAATTAAAGCTGCAGTGAGGCAGGGAAGTGAGTAATGTATGCACAGAGAGGTGACTGTTAACTTGCGCATACAGCTTAGCATATAAAAATTACATTAAATAAAAAGCCTGATTACTGAGTTCATCTTCCATGGACTTACCGGTATACCCAGGTTCAGAGCTGTGATTCTATCTTCCTCCTGTCCAATAGACATCGAGGGCACAAATACGGCTCCGGCTGGGAGTAAGAATGCGACGGTGCCATTTCTGTGTACTGTGATGTTCTCTTTGGGCAGGTATCGGGTTCTGGACAAAATAGCCAATGCAGGAAGAACATGTCAGAATTGTCTGGGTCTGATAGTTTTCTCTCCACTGCGAGGAGACAATAAAGTTGACTTTTTACTAAATTTGAGACCAGGAGTTAAGTTACCATGAAACCATATATGGTTTTGGGATGATCCTACTTAAAACAATGAATGTCTTGCTTTTTTACTGCTAATCATATGATCAAAATTAAAAACGGGCTAAAAAGTTGCCAAATATATGCACTTTACTTGTATGTATAGGGCCCCCTCTCCACTACCACTGGTGTTGACCCATTTTCTACAACTTCCAATGGATTTTGGACGTCAAACAGCCAAAACTGCCGATACACAGGTACCCCTGCTGACGACCAGATTTCATAAGCAGTGGTTCCCGGTTCGATGACTGTCTCCTACGAGGAGATACACAGTGTTACAACTGGCAAAGATAATGCACTCTTTTTCTCAGAATGTCTATTTTTTTGAGCAATTAAAATGCTTCACAGCTTTTCAATGCCTGTAGTAGCTAATCACATAGCTTAGATTTGGCGTTCCAAAGTAAGGTGTGTGGTTGCATACCTTCCTGACGGTGTCCCTGATGACAGAATCCCCCACTGGAATCAGGATACCCCCAAGAACAGCCAGCAGAGCTCCCAAGACGGCCCCGGCGATGAGCCAGTGTTTGCAGCTGCACCCCATGTCGGAGTTCCTCAGGTTTTTTATCGTGCTTCCGGTCACTGATCACTGTTGATCGCTTGAGTTCTCTGGGTGCAAGTGGTCTGAAAAGATCTTAACTTGTGCAAGCTTTCATACCTGAAGAACAAGCAAAGCCATAAAGCCAGTGGCAGCAAGCGCTGCTGTCAAGATATCTCAAGGGGTGTCTAGTGATGTGGCAACACTCCTGTCCGTTGAACGACAGGGCAACTGAGAACCATAAACAGGCATGGAGGATAAAGTCTAAGTTCATATTGGCGATATCTCACTGGAGATTGAGGCCTTCAGGCATATAGGGTGATAATTCAGTCCATGTCCTCTCTGGGGAAGAAGTTTGCCCAAGGTTTCATTTTTGCTGATAAAGCATCTCGCAGCAGGAGAGCAGACGGCCATTTTCAGGGGTGAAGCTGCCCCAGCTGCCCCAGCTGCACTGTAATCCGAAAGCCGTGATTAAGCAGTGTCATTCCCAGAGCTGTCCAGTTACCCCAAACCAGAGGACTGCAGTTTTATTGCTGTTGTTATTGCCTTATTTGGGTTCACTTTTGGACATTTTTCGTGTGAAAGCTGGGCGCTCGGCGATTTGGTCAAAGTGTAATCACCAAGGTGGAAAACTGTGTCCATCTGTCGTAAAATGATTCCAAGATTATAAAAGTAAACAGGCCGAAAATATTTAATGCACAGGATATAATAAAGTTTATTGCATTGGAGTTTCACATTCGTCAAACACCCAGGGTTGTTATCAGGGGGGTGGGTTGGTGGAGGGGTGGAGCAGTATGTTTTTCCAGGTTCTGGACTGAAGGGGGCGCTGGTCAGCTAAATCTACTAAGGGGACCCCCACCTCCCCAAGAGTGGCCAAGCTGTCATTTTTTCATGGACCCCCTCAGGAACATGCATCATCCTGCAGGGAATCAAAGTGAAAATAAATACAGCCCGGCCTCTCGGAGACAGTTGGGGACATCCCTTATCAGATCGCAGTGGCAGCGTCGCAATATACTGCTGCCGCTCCATGACATAGTTCACTGCGAACTGATAATGGTCGCAAAGTGCAGCGGCATCGGTGTTTTCACATTCTCTAACGCAGGAGTGTCGGTGGATCATAACACTGCCCTTTTGCTGTGTCACTGCACGCATGGTCGCCCAGTAGTGCAGGATAAAAAACCTGCAGGCCCTGCGTACACACATGCATGGAGGCGAGGAATCCCTGATGTTAAAGACAGATCCTACATGGAACAAAAATTTTACTTTAAGTGCTTTTCAGTTTCAGAACTTTAGGATCCCATTTATTTTGGTTACTATTGATTATCGTTTTTGACATTTGGTACCACAGGTGCACCCACACAGATAAATCAAAAGCAATAAGATTGTAAGTCAGTGTTTGTTAGGAGGCTGGACAGTAGGTAGCACTGAGGCCTCGAACTGTCAGAGTTGGGGGCTCAAATCTAGTCACTGATCTCTGTGAGTGGAGTTTGCATGTATTCATACTGTGTGAGTTTCCACCTACAGCCCAAAGACAGCAGTTAGGCTGATTGCCATCTCCTAAATGTGCGTGTGCCCTGTGATGGATGTGCCCCTTATAGGAAGGTTCTAGGCCCCCCCCCCCACCCCCATATTCGTGTACTAGAGAAGCAGTTGGAAAATTTATGGATATTACCTGTGTAGTTGCTGCCCCCTGGTGGTAAGTGTGATTATGCAGGAAAATATTGCTTGAAGGAGCATCTTCAAAAGAACCTCACAGTATCTTTACTGCTATTTATTGCAAACGAAGCGCTTATATAGAATAAAACTCTGAATCATGATGAAAAGTTACAGCGCCTGAGCAGTGTGTCGGTTTTATAGCCTAGCATCTTTATGGCTTTAAGGAGAATAACCTGACCGGGTTGGATATTCATTGTGTTGATGCTTTAAGAAGAGGGAGAAGGTTCATTTCAAAATTTATCTCTTAATCTGCCACTATTCCATCAGAGGAAGAGGCAGGAAGAGAGAGAGAGACTATGATGGTGATTATGCTGCTGTGTCTTTGCCTACGTTATGCCTCCAGGGGGCAGTGCAGCCCTACCTCCCCATGCTCCACTGACACTCAGCAAGGGATCTGGCACAGCACTTCACCTGTGCTGACACGGCATGAACAGATACCCCCCACACACACACACACACACGCCACAAGCAGTCTGTTCCCTAATGACCTCTAACGAGCCGCTAATTGAGACACTACCCCGTTTACATACATAGCTGTATCAGCCGTATGTACAAGCATACAGAGGATTGTATTAATGACACGATAATTCTTTAAGCGGCAATACAAAATCTCGACACTGGTCTTTTATTGTAATGCATGCGCCACTTAAATATATTAAATAAATTACACACATGAAACAAATTAAACTGCTTATTTTAAAAAATAATTTTGATTTTGACTGAGACTTAAAAAGCTATCTGGGCCAAAAAGTTTGCCGCTGCTGGTGACTTTCATGCCTGAATTAATTATCCTGGTGGAGTCGCCTTTATCTGCATAAGGCTGTTCACATCTTTTCTTTGATTTGCATATATTGTCATCAAATGCGGAGCAGCTCAGCCTCAGCAGGACAACATAATGGTAATGAAGGAGGCCTCAGAATTATGTTGTACATAAGATACAAAAGTTTTTTTTGAAAAGTTGAAGGAATGGTAAGAAACCAGGAACCTGAAAACCTGTCTCCTCCCTTTAAAACCCAAGATGTTGTTCCGTTTCTGTTCTAGGAGAGTCTGTCCTGATGGTGTTTCTCCTTCCTAGTGGAGCATGTCTGTACCTCCCTGTACCTGTGCGGCACTCCAGATCATCGTCGGTTAACCGTTACCATGGCAGCGAGTCAGACATAAGGGGGCGGGGCTTTGCTGGTGTGTTGCTGCTAATCACAGGAGTTGCACACTCTTAAACCAGCCCTGGTACAGGTCATATTAAACATGCCATAGAAGCTGCACAAGATGACAGCCTGTTGATCGGGCCTAGGCTTTGGTCTGATCTATCTGCTGTTCTGATTTCTAGGCTGATGGCCAGGTCCTGTGTTTTTCAAGCGTTCAGGACAGAAGCAGCCATATTAGATTCCATTATCCTCGATATAGACACCAGCGAATCTCGTAGGACAGGCGTGAGGCACAGATATGTGGCACTACAGTCAATAGCAGGGGCCACCAGATGCCCCAGGGACACTTAGGACGAGGGCAATTGTGGTCTTAGACATCATTTGCACCTGGCGTGTGGTCGCCCAGGGAAATCTTACCACAGGAGGGACGTGAAGGGCTCCCTCAGCAAGCTTTGCATACTCCACCTGCTGCTTCCATTCCAGATGGAAATATTATGCAAAGGGCTGGAAATGGAAAATGTGAATGATTCCACAATTCATGCTGCTCCCTTGCACGTCACCACATCCCCACAATTACTGTACAGGTGTGGATCCAAAATGTAATTGTGAGCTGGGGAGTGTTGGGGGACCCCACTCACTTTGGGGCCCTCTGTAGTGTAGTGACTGTTTGTGGCCAACAGGGGGGGACCCAGAATTGCAGGGGGCCCACGCAAATGCATGGTGTTGTGTTGTTAAACACCGCTGACATTGAGCAGGATGTTGATCCCCCTTCATTTGGCTTCCAGTTGAAGCTGCAAGGTGACATCACTGGACGCCAGTAATTACCTCATCGTGTCGCCACTGTAGCCCACGATTGGCCGATGCCCGATTCCCATGCATCGAACCCAAATCTCGGATGGCTCTCCTCATATTTGTACAGTTATTTTGTGTCGCACTGGAGTCATTTGCCATAATCTCACATTCTTAACTCAACCTCATTGATTACAGATAAGAATCAAAACATGTTCTTGAGAGCTCCTGGATTTAGACAGTCAGATTTAGACATTACTTTTGTTTGCTTTTAGCTGAATATTTTTGTTATCCTACCACAGGAAATCTGAGCAGCCATCCCATCAATTCAGAGCAAATTATCTTCTGCTCCATGAACCCCGCTGAGGTGTTTTGACACGTCCTGAATTGGCATCATTCCCCGGGTATCGTCTCTTCCCAAATTCCATTCCAGATTTATTAACTGTTCTGACGGAGACCACATCTATTAAAAATAGCAGTACATGCAATGCATATTGCCAAAAAAAATTAAGCTTTCCTTCCAAACGAAACGTCGTCATGGTAGGTAATCAAATGAGAGTCAGTGTTTCTCTGGATTATTCTGATGGGGTTGAGTGTGATTTGCATTTTACCACCCTTCAGACTACTGACATCATTACAAAATCCAAATAAGAGTAAGACATTGTGTTTCTGTTACGCCAGCTAAGTAGATGTATGGACTAGACAGTTACCAAAGATTTAAGATATAAGTAAGTCACAGCCCACCGGGACCAAAGTCTCCACATTTTTTCATTGTGTCTCAGGACACTGATCATTGTTGATTGCCTGACTTCTCTGGGTGGAAATGGTCTGAAAAGAACCTAAATTGTACAAGCTCTCACACCTGAGTAACAAGCAAAGCCATTTTCTGTGGAGCAGCAAAAGCCCAGGCGGTCGCCAGGACCTAGCTGGAAACCCGCAGTGATAAAGTGTCTCCACTGAATCCACTGCTTCCGGACAGACAATTTACACGAGCAGTAACTGGTGTGCAAAGGGCACATTTACATCGGGATGTGTGACCTGCGGCATTCCCACCTGATTGGGGGGGGGCATCGCACTACTCACAGTGAGTCAAGTCCCTGCACTATACTACGCTATTTACTCAGAGACATAGCACTGTGAGACAATAGCAGGTCAGGTCAAGTACACCATGGAAATCAAATGTCAGCCTGCAAGGTCACCTGAGGACGTTATGCTGTTTTATTGCAACATAAGTATGCAAAACTAGTACTACTTTCAGTGATCTGATGCAACAACAATTTCCAGTTTAATTTCTGTTTCATTTTGGTCCCTCTTTTGTTCTGAAGGGACGTGGGTTCCTGCTTGTCCAACATCTCATTCCAAAACCAAACGTATTAATATGAAATTGGCTGTTCCCAGCATTGCAATGATAGGCTCTACTCTTCTGGGCAGGCTTTCCATTAGATGCTGGAACATTGCTGATGGGATTTGCTGCCATTCAGGTTGGGTGTTGATGTTGGGAGATCGTGTCCCTTTCTGTGAGCTTGTGGGGCCTCCCACTTTGCGACTGAACCCGCTCCCAGACA